CCTTACACTGGTGCCGCACTGTCGAAGCTTCCCGGCGCTTTCTCTCCCTCTCTCTCTCTTTATGTGTCTCTCTCTCCCATTCCCTTGTGTGTTTCTCTCTTTGTCTCTCCGCTCTCGGTCGACATCTTTACTTCTGTTTGCTTTGACTTGGAATGAAGGTAATACGCGCAGGTTCTGGTATGTGGAACAGTTTCAAAGTAGGGAAACATTAGGTTGCGAAAATAGATTGTTATCACATCTTCAACATATATACATATACCATAGGAGTAGGCCCGCCGCAGGCGCCGAATCTACCACCAGACAACAAATTTCGATCGCAAGCCCGCCGCAGGCGCCGATTTGGATTGAAGCCTGAACCAACATGAGGATGGCGAGCCCGCCGCAGACGCCGATTTTATCGCCAGAACGCGAATTCTTGTCGCAAGCCCACCGCAGGCGCGGATTTTTCATTGAAGCGATAAAAAACATGAGGGCGGCAAGCCCGCCGCAGGCGCCGATTTTATCGCCAGAACGCGAATTCTTGTCGCAAGCCCACCGCAGGCGCCAATTTTTCAGTGAAGCCTTAAATGGAATGAACATCGCGAGCCCGCTGCAGGCGCCGATTTTTTCAAGAACCACGGGGAGATCGCAAGCCCGCCGCCAGCGCCGATTTTTTCCTGCACCGAAAGGGCCCTTCCCCTCCCACGACGCCGCGGAGGCCCCCCCATTGGCGGGCCTGCCGCCCCCCCCTTGGCCGGAAAAACAAAGAAATAACGGAACGACTTGCCGACCTCAGAGCAACCAACACGCGCGCGACTTGAAACGACTTCGCGTGGGCGGAACCCCCTCCTCACTCCGATGTTGGCCTCTCGGGGCCTTCTTCGGAGGACTCTTGAGAGCTCTTGCGGCTTCTTTGGGGCCTCTTGCGAGCCCTCTTGGGGGCCCTTGTTGCCTCTCGGGGCCTCTTTGGGTGGGTGGGGGGGGTGGGATTTTCGCATCCGGAGGGATCGCAAAATTGCTTCCCACAAATCATGCGGAAAGGCGCGGGGAGCCCCAGAAGATTTCTGAGTTTGGGCTCCAGGTCCTTCAAAGAATTTTGAAGACAGAGGACTGAGGCTCAAGAGTGAGGTAGATGACGTCGGAACACGCCCGTTCCGTGCCTCAGGGCGTGGTGGCGCTTTGGGTCTTGGAAGATCTCTGGCTATCTGGAGCCGTATCGCGGGCCGTCTTGAGCCTTGCCGCATGTGGGGACAATTTTTGAGCCATCGTGGGCGCTTTGAGGGACCTGCTACAAGGGGGTCCGGGACAAGGGTCGCGCCCATCCCCGACAAGGAATTCGTTTGAGAAAGCAGGGGTCGCCGACAGGGCCGACGGGATGCACTGTTGGGCCCCGCTACAAGAGTCACGCCGCCTCGTTTGCGACCCGCGCGGCTGCGCGCTTCGTTTGGCGTTGCGCCCCCGCCCGCCCCCCCGCCCGGGACGGCCCGCCTCTCTACCCAATGGTGTTTGCGGCAGGGGGCTGGGGCAAGGCTCTTCCGGATGGGGCGGCAGCAATCCGCCGCAGGATTCCCGGCGGCGTCGCGCTGTTTCACCTTGCTCCAGCCGGCGGCCCCGAAAAACAAAAAAAAACAAAAAATCATTTTTCTACATTTTCAATCGCTTCGGCTGACATATTTTTACATTTATTGTATAATTATTATGAAAAAATAGGTGCGCCCAGCGAAACCTATTTTTTGTATATTTTCCGTTATTTGTTGTGTAATAGATAGCGAAAACATAGCGAAAACTAGCGGGAAAAAGCGGAAACAAAGGTGCGCGGAACTGTCTGTTTCGGCCGCCGAAAAAAATAGCGAGAAAATGTATAAACAACAGGCGCCGCAAAAGTCCTTGGGGATGCACCTTTTTTCCCCGCTATTTTTTGTTATCTGTTCGTTATGTTTTCGCTATTTCTCTGCCCGCCCCTCCTCCTCCTCCTCCTCCCCCCCCCCCCATCCGCCTCCTCCTCCCGCCTCCCCCTCCTCCTCCCCCTCCTTTCTCCTCCTCCTCCCCCCTCCTCCCCCCCCCCCCCCACCCCTCCTTCCTCCCCCCCCCCGGCCATGCCGCCCAATAGGGGGGCTTCCGCGGCCTCGTGGGAGGGGAAACGGCTTTTTCTGTGCCAGAGAAAAACCGGCGCCTGCGGCGCCTGTGATTTCTTCATGGTTCTTGAAATAATCGGCGTCGATCGTCATTTCATTCGCGTTTTTAAGGACAAATCGGCGCTTGCGGTGGGCTTGCGCCATGAATTCGTTTTCTAGAATTTACTTTCTGGTGAAAAAATCGGCGCCCGCGGCGGGCTTGCCATCTTCATGCTTGTTACGGCTTCAGTTTTTAATCGGTGCCTGCGGCGGGTTTGCAATCAGAATTCGTTTCCTGATCATAAGATCGGCGCCTGCGGCGAGCTTGCCATCTTCGTGCCGGTTTTGGCTTCAATGCAGAATCGGCGCTTGCGGCAGGTTTGCAAACAGTATCCGCTTTCTTCTTATAAAGAAATAGCGTCGTTTGCGGGCTTGCGATGTCAATGCAGATTTTTGCTTCGATTCAAAATCGGCGCCTGCGGCGGGCCTGCGATAAGACCACAGCGATCCCCGCCAAGCCCAACTCAGCGCCTTCACTCCTTTCCGCATCAGCGGGGGTGGGGGCTGGTGCTCGTGGATGCAGCAAGCCTGCTGCGGCAGGGTTTCCACTCGTGGGGGATGCTCGAAAAATGTCCACCCCCCTCCTCCTCCTCGTCCTCGTCCTGCTCCTCCTCCTCCTCCTCCTCCTCATTCCCCTCCTCTTTTCTTCCCCCTCCTCCTCCTTCTCCTCCTCCTCCTCCTTCTCCTCCTCCCTTTACCCCTCCTCGTGTTTGTCGCCGTGGTCATCCTCGTCCAACTCCTCATGTTCCTCCTCGCCCCCCTCTATCAACTTCTTCCTCCTTCTTCTCCTCCTCCTCGTCCATATCGTTCCCCCCTTCTCTTCCTCCTCCTCCTTCTGCTTCCTTTGTTTCAATGCGATTCGCCATGCGATGTCACGCAACCTCTCCGGCTGGAACTCACTTTCTCCTGACAGTTGCGCCGTTGCAGTTTCTGTCCCTTCTTTCTGCTGTGCCGTCGTGTCGCCGCCGCCGCTGCCGTTGCGTTCGGGGCCTTGTATATGTTTGTTATTTTTGTAAGGACATACTGCAGCGGCCTAATTTTGACCTATTTCACATCACCCATTTTTTCTACATTTTTCATGCAATTGAATTGTTTCCTGGATTCGGACGCTGTCCATTAGTAGCTGCATTTTATGCTTTGACGGGGCGAGTTTGCTGGCCATGATGATTGTGCGTACGATGGTGGTGATGATGATCATGGTGGCGGTACTGCTGATGATGATGATGATGATGCTGATGTTGGTGATGGCGGTGGCGATCCTGCTGATGGTGATGATGATGATGAAATTTGCGATGCGGACGATGACGATGTTGGGTGCGGGGGTGATGATCGTGATGCTGCTGCTGCTGATGATGAGGCTGCCGATGATGATGATGCTGATGATGATTATTATGATGATAGTGATGGTGATGGTGATGGTGATGGTGATGGTGAGGATGATGATGATGATGATGATTATGATGATGACGATAATGATGATGATGGTGATGATGATGCGGTGTGGGCCTTGCCGACATACGCGGAATGGCTCAAGCATTTTGTGGTAATCGTGTAGTAGTAGAGGAAGAAGAAGTAGTAGTACAAGAAGTAGTAGTAGTAGTAGTAGTAGTAGTAGTAGTAGTAGTAGTAGTAGTAGTAGTGTAGTAGTAGTAGTAGTAGTAGTAGTAGTAGTAGTAGTAGTAGTAGTAGTAGTAGTAGTAGTAGTAGTAGTAGTAGTAGTAGTGTAGTAGTCGTAGTCGTAGTAGTAGTAGTAGTAGTAGTAGTAGTAGAAGTAGTAGTAGTAGTAGTAGTCGTAGTAGTAGTAGTAGTAGTAGTAGTAGTAGTAGTAGTAGTAGTAGTAGTAGTAGTAGTAGTAGTAGTTCGTAGTCGTAGTCGTACGTAGTAGTAGTTAGTAGTAGTAGTAGTAGTAGTAGTAGTAGTAGTAGTAGTAGTAGTAGTAGTAGTAGTAGTAGTAGTAGTAGTAGTAGTAGTAGTAGTAGTCGCGTAGTCGTCGGCGTCGTCGTAGTAGTAGTAGTCGTAGTAGAGTCGAGTAGTCGTCGTCGTAGTAGTAGTAGTAGTAGTAGTACTAGTAGTAGTAGTAGTAGTAGTAGTAGTAGTAGTAGTAGTAGTAGTAGTAGTAGTAGTAGTAGTAGTAGTAGTAGTATGTAGCGGTAAGAGTAGTTGTAGTCGTAGCTGTAGTCGTTCTCGTGCAGGTGGTAGTGGTGGTAGTAGCCGTATCCTTCGTGTAACGGAGCGGGCGAGGCGGGCACGGGCGGGCACCAGGCGACAACCAAGAAATGCAAACCAGGGCTTTGAGCGGGGTCGATGCGGGCGCGGGCGCTGGGCGGGCACCCGGCGGGCACTTTGCGAAAGCCCGAAAGCGCCAGCCAGTGCACGGAACGGGCGCGAGGCAGGCGCTGGCGGTCTTTGGGCGGCAATATCGAAAACGCGGGCCAATGTTCCACGACATGCGAACAATAGCTTAGTGACGAGTGCAAGGCCTAGTCGGAGCGTAATACAAGCTTGCGACTCGAGTTAGTGAGTCAGCAGATTCAGCTTTTGGTGTTTTTACATTGTGGGAATATTCGGGAGTACGGACTCCTCCTGAAGACGGCAATCGAGCTGTGTAGAGTGAAGGTCGGTGGGCCATGGTTGGTGACGCGCACAAGGGGGTGGCGCAAGAGGGCAGCCTTGAGAAAGCGGGGGAGCTTCTAAGAAGGCAGGGTGGCTTCTTAGAAACATCCAGACCCTCGAAACATCCAGACCCTTCCGAGGAGGCCGTTTGAGAACCGCCCGCCTTTGAACCCCTTGCGTGCGTCGCCAAACTGGGGCGCGGTTGGCGCAGTTTTGTGGGGTTCCATCTTGGAGGCCAAGCTGGTGTACACCACCCACGGCTCGAACGGGAGCGACGAGCTGGGATCCTTCAAGGGTCAGCCCAGGTCGCGGGGGGGCGCCTTGATTGACCAATGGAACCATCCGAGTTGACGCACACCGTGGCTCGCCGATGCCGAGCGCCAATTCGCGGGACAGAGCGGACCGGGTTTTTTTCTGTTGGACAGCGGCTTTGGCGGTTGATTCCAACGTTGCGGAGCTTGTTGGAGCGAGGGAGGACTGGGGGAGGGGAAGGGATGGAGGGAAGGCGAGATGGAATGCAGAGGTGAACGGAACGTAGGGGAGGGAGGGGGCGGGAAGATGAGGGGAAGGAAAAGGGGGGAGGGGACCACGTAGCCTCGAACTCTCCACCTGAATTGCCGAACGTCAAGAAGCTGTTTCGACCGCATCATTCCACCTGACGCTCTCGGTCACCTTGCTGTATCAGTGGTGACGGACATGCTAGCAACAGTTTTTGTGCGGATTGATGTAGACGTTTTCTGTCCTTCTCTGGCGCAATGGGCCAGATTTCATGACGCAGTAGATGGCAGCTACCGCTCAGTGGATCGGATTGGAGATGATGACGATCATCTTTCGGCCAATGCGGGAACGTCTGAGCAACGACTCACTGCTTGCACGTCGCTCTCCGCCGTTCTCGCACGCGCACGGGGGTGGTTTCCACCCTCACACATGGAGACAACCAGGTTGCTCTTTTTTGTAGGCAATTTGTCAATGGGGATGGATGGTTAGATACAAATAAGATCAAAGGCTTGTGACCAACTTATATGTATACTGGCTGGTGCGATTTACTGGGTGCAGTCTGTGGGGTGCGGCCTATGGGCGGGACAGTCAGTGTGGCCCTATCGGTGATTGGACTTTGTCGGCCGGGTTCTTGTCATCCATCAAGAAAAGCGCAGGGCAATTCTTGAGGACCTTGAATAGAAGCATTCGTATGGGGGTGCCGTCTCCTGACAACATAATCGTGACATCCATTGGAGACTGTCACCTGCCTGCGCATGCAGCCGCTTTTTGGATGGGGGTCAGTAGCCCGCCAAGGGACGCAAGCCACCCCGACTCCCACAACTGGCGTTCACCAAGCAGTTCTTGTCGTGACTGAGCAGTCCTGGCCCGTTCGGCCCCCTTTGAATGCGTTTACTGCAGGCTTCGCTTGCATGGGGTGCTTACCATGATGTTGGTTTCCTTGCTTTCTGACTATGGCCGCGATTGGGAAACCTTTGGGGATCGTGTTGCCGCATTTTCAAAGCAACCACAACCCTTGGTGACCCTCATATCATGAATGCAGGAGCCTGTATGGGGAATGTGCTGCCTGCGTAGTAACTACAATACTTGGGACCATTTCCTTCCACCATGCTTTCAGGACCCCTCAGGGAATCGTAGCGCCCCCATCGAGCAACGCGGAAACTCGCAGCACCCAGGGTCAACTAATCAACAGTGCAGGCAAGGAACCTTTTGGTGCGCGCACTGCTTGTGACATGCCTGGTCCGTGTCCTGTTGCAGCGACACCAGAGAAGAAAGGCGGCTCGATTCCCGAGCGACGAACAAGTGTGATAAAACAACAAATGTGATAAAACATGCAAGTGAAACAAGTGCGATACCAAAAACCAAGTGTGATAAACAACTTGTTCTGGAGTCACCTGTGCGAGTCTACACCGTCCGATGCGCTCTGCGCAGTGCTGAAACACCGCGCCGCGCAGCAGCACGAGAGGCCACGCGTGGCATCGGACCACGAGGCGCAGGCGGACCAGACGGCTAGGGTCGGAGCAGGATGTGCACGCCAGCAGAGGCAGTGTGGCCGAGCGGGGGCTCCAGGGAGCCTCCGAGCTTCAGCAGGCACGTCACGTGGTGCTTTGCCGGAGTGGTCCGGTCGTTCGTTCGTTCGTTCGCTTTCCCTCCCACTGAACCTCCCCTCTCCCAACATCTCACGGGCCTTCCATGGGGAGGGGGAGGGGGAGCTGGATCAGGCTCGGAGGGGACGCGGAAGGGGCAAGGAGGCAGACTTGGGGGATTCGACGGCGCGCCGAGGGGGGACGTGAGGGAGGGCTGGCCTTCTCAGAAGGCGGCGGGGCTTCGGAGAAGGCTCGCACCCCTCTGCCTGTTCCCCTGGGTGTGCCGCCAAGAGTTGGAGGCCGAGGCTGGGAGGACGAACGCCGTGTGCGTGGACTGGCACTTTTTGTTCGTGGCAGGTTCCGTCGAAAGACTGTCCCGCTGCCCCCCTCCCAGAAATCGAGTCCGATCTGCCAGCATTTGTTTGATTCCAGGCCTCCCAGATGGGGCCAGGGTAGATGGGGTCGAAGGATCACGCCGCATCGCCGATGCATCGCCGATGCGATGCGGCGCGACCCGGTGTTCCATTTCCCCCGTCCCGACGTCGCGTGCACATTGGCGACGCATCGGCGATGCGGCGCCCGACCCCGTCTATTCTGGCGGCATTCGGGATGCTTCCGTTCATGCTGTGCGAAAGAGAGAGAGAGAGAGAGAGAGAGAAAGCGAAACATATGACAGAAGACGAGATCGGGGAGGCGTGGGAGCAGGTGCAGGCGTGTGCGGAGGCGGCAGGTATCCTCCTCGGGCGGGGCGGCTCCCGTGGCAGGTCGCAAGCCCTCAAGTCCCAGAACGTGTGGCTCAAGAAGGAGCTGCAGGCCGCCGCCACGCCCCGTCCCCTGGCCGCCTCAGCGCGAGCGCTGCCCCTCGCCTGTCTTCAGGGGCAGCGTTAGGGGCGGGAGGATCGCATCGGCCCCCAATCGCCCACTCATCGCCGATAGGTGCCTGATAGCCCGTTCCGCAGTGCGGTCTCGCTATCGGGGGCCTATCGCCGATATATCGGCGATATATATCCGATTCCAGGTCGATACTTCCCCGCCTGAGCTGGTCCCCCTATCGTTCTCCCTCATGTCTCCTAGCGGTAGGTTCGCCCCGTGTCCACGCGGCGACGACGACGACAATGGCCAGGTATTTTCGTTTTTCCCAACCATTTTGTGGTGTTGGGCCCTCGTTTTGAAGAGCCGGTCCCCGCGTTTCCCTTCCTTCCTTCCTCCTCCCACCTCCCTCCTCCCATTATCGTCATCCATTTTGGCACACCCCTCACACGTTTCGTGGCCCCGTAGGAAGCTCCACCGAAGGTCCCAGTGGTGCAGTTCGCATGCGTCCCCGCCACCCATTTTGGCACACCCTTCACACGTTTCGTGGCCCCATAGGGTAGCTCCACCGAAGGCCCCAGTGGCGGTGTTCGCATGCGTCCACGCCACCCCCTTTCGGCACAACCCTCTCACAAGTGTCCTGGCCCCATAGGGAGCCCCACCGGAGGCCTCAGTGGCGGTGTGCGCATGCATCCCCGCCACCCATTCGGGCCCACCCCGCAAACGTTTCGTGGCCCCATAAGAAGCTCCACCGAAGGCCCTCATGGCGGTGTTCGCATGCGTCCCCGCCACCGATTTCGACAGTCCCCTCACACGCTTCGAGGCCCCATAGGGAGCTCCACTGAAGGCTACAGTGGCAGTGTTCGCATGCGTCCACGCCACCCATTCTGGCATACACCTCGCACGTTTCGTGGCCTCATAGGGAGCCCCACCGGAGGCCCCTGTGGCGGTTTCGCATGCGTCTCCGCCACCCATTTCGGCATACCCTCACACGGTTCGTGACCCCATAGGGAGCTCCACCGAAGACGAGACCCGCAACAGCGTTACTCACAACTGCAGATGGTTGGGTCCTTCGCCAGGCTAAATTTCCTAACCATATTATGGTGTTGGGTCCTCGTTTTGAAGAGACGGTCCCCGCGTTCTCCTTCCTTCCTTCCTTCCTTCCTTCCTTCCTTCCTTCCTCCCCCTCTTCCCTCCTCCCAACACCTCTCACACGTTTCGTGGCCCCATGGGAGCTCCGCCGAAGCTCCCAGCGGCGCAGTTCACGTGCGTCCCCGCCATTCATTTCGGCACACCCCTCATGCGTGTCGTGGCCCCAAAGGAACTCCGCCGAAGCTCCCAGTGGCGCAGTCCGCATGCGTCCCCGCCACTAATTTCGGCACACCCCTCACACGGTTCGTGGCCCCATAGGAAGCTCCACAGAAGGTCCCAGCGGCGCAGTTCGCATGCGCCCTCGCCACCCCATTTCGGCACACCCATAACACGTTTTGTGGCCCCATAGGAGCTCCGCTGAAGGTTCCAGTGGCGCAGTTCGCATGCGTCCCCGCCATTCACTTCGGCACATCCGTCACGTGTCGTGGCTTGAGGTAGCTCCGCTGAAGGTCCCATTGGCGCAGTTCGCATGCGTCCCCGCCACCCCCTTTCGGCACAACCCTCACACGTTTCGTGGCCCCAGAGGGAGCTTCGCTGAAGGTCCCAGTGGCGCAGTTCGCATGCGTCCCCGCCACCCAATTTCGGGATACCCCTCACACGTTTCGTGGCCTCAGTGAGCTCCGCTGGAGGTTTCAGTGGCGTGGTTGGCATGCGCCCCCGCCACCAATTTCGGCACACTCCTCACGCGTTTTGTTTGTGGCCCCGTAGGAGCTCCGCGGAAGATCCCATTGGCGCAGTTCGCATGCGTCCCCGCCACCCAAATCGGCACACCCCTCGCACGGTTCGTGGCCCCATAGGGAGCTCCGCTGAAGGTCTCAGTGGCGCAGTTCGCATGCGTCCCCGCCACCCATTTCGGCACAACCCTCACACGTTTCGTGGCCCCACAGGGAGCTCCGCTGAAGGTCGCAGTGGCGCAGTTCGCATGCGTCCCCGCCACAAAGTTCGGCACACCTCTCACACGTTTCGTGGCCCCATGGGAGCTCCACCGAAGGTCCCAGTGGTGCAGTTCGCATGCGTCCCCGCCACCCATTTCGGCACAACCACTCACATGCTTCGTGCACAGTTCGCATGCGCCCCCGTCACCCCTTTCGGCACAACTCCCACACTGTTCGTGGCCCCATAGGGAGTCCACCGGAGGCCCCAGCGGCAAGTTTACATGCATCCCCGCCACCCATTTTGGCTCATCCCTCACACGGTTCGTGGCCCGATAGGGAGCTCCACCGAAGGTCCCAGTGGCGCAGTTTTACATGCGTCCCCGCCACTCATTTCGGCACACCCCTCACACGTTTCGCGGCCCCATAGGGAGCTCCACCGAAGGCCCCAGTGGTAGAGTTTACATGCATCCCCGCCACCTATTACGGCACACTCATTACACTGTGGCCCCATAGGGAGTTCCACCGAAGGCCCCAGTGGCACAGTTTAAATACGCCTCCGCCACCCATGTCGCCACACCCCTCACACGTTTCGTGGCCCCATAGGGAGCTCCACCGAAGGCCCAAGCGGTACAGTTTACATGCGTTCCCGCCACCCATTACGGCATACCCCTCACACGGTTCGTGGCCCCATAAGGAGCTCCACCGAAGGCCCCAGTGGCGCAGTTTCCATGCGTCCCCGCCACCCATGTCGGCACTCCCCTCACACGTTTCGTGGCCCCATAGGGAGCTCCACCGACGGCCAAAGCGGCACATTTTACCTGCTTCCCCGCCGCCCATGTCAGCACACCCCTCACACGGTTCGTGGCCCCATAGGGAGCTGAACCGAAGGTCCCAGCGGCACAGTTCGCATGCGTCCCCGCCACCTATATCGATGCACCCTTCACACTGGTCGCGGCCCCATACAGAGCTCCATCGAAGGCCCAAGGGGTTTGCCCACATGCGTCCCCGCCACCCAAGGTCGGCACACACCTCACACGGTTCATGGCCCCATGGGGAGCCCCACCGAAGGCCCCAGGGGGTGCGTCCGTGTGCGTCCTAGGAACTCATTTCGGCACACCCCTCACACGGTCGGGGGCCCCATGGGGAATTCCACCGAAGGCTGCAGGAGTTGCGTCCACATGCGTCCGGGGCACTCATTTCGGCACACCCTTCACACGGTTCGTCTCATCTCCCTCGCGATATCCGCAGCTGCATATGGTTGGGTCCTTCGTCAGGCTTTTTTTTCCCCAACCATCCTGTGGTATTGGGTCCTCGTTTTGAAGAGACGGTCCCCGCGTTCACTCCTCATCCTCCCGCTGCCCCCTCCCTCCTCCTCCCGTTATCATCATCATCCTCCTCCTCATCATCATCATCAACATCATCATCATCAACATCATCATCATCATCATCATCATCATCATCATCATCATCATCATCATCATCATCATCATCATCATCATCATCATCATCTCTGTAGCTTCCTCGGCTCGACAGCTCGTGCGGGCACAGACGCTCAACCGTACCAGGCTGGGTCTCACGCGAGCCAGACGTTTCACTGATGGAGTTTGGCGGAGTTCTGCAGTGAAAAAGGCGACCTCAAATCATCAATTTGTCCCTGGCGAACTGGCCTTTGGCAACGGCCTAGGCATCGCTCACGTTCTTCAGGAGTTCAGGAGGTGCTGGACAGTGTGGTCTTACCACGTCGAGTTCTTGTTGCCGTATATGCGTCATCGATGGCCGCCCCCCCGCTCACTTCGTGATCGAACACCCAGACCACGATAGACTCATCATGGTGCTCAAGAACCCTGTTGTGACGAGCTTGCCCGACATTGCTGCGTGGTGCCACACGCAAGTTCAGGCAGACGGTCCAGCAAGCTTGGTTGTGGCCTTGGCGTTATCGATGGATGTGTTGCTGCCGCCCCAGAGCATAGGCGGCGTGTGCTCGCATGAGAAGGCGGCCATCACCAGCCCCATGCTCGTCGCAACGGGTTTGTGTCGGCTACGCCGAGCGTTTTCTGCAGCACGTCATCCTCGTTGGTTTCGTCAACAGTGGTGTATCTTCCCAACGGCGTTTCAGGAGTAGATGATTTCAGATCTTTCGGCCGCGTGGTGGAGAATATCGCAGTGGATCTTAGCTGCGGAGTGTGCAGGCGTATCCTTGTATCTAATCGGTTCCCATACTGGCTGCTTTGTCGGCAGGGCCAGCTTGACCCGCGCCACGGGCGTGAAGCCTGGCTGCCCGTGCCTTAGAACACATAACAGGCCTTCTGTTGCCGCAATTTCGCGACGGCCGTCTGGCAAGGTACACGGCCCTGCGGGACAGCATCGCTTCGTTTTTCATGATCCCCATCGTGGTGGCGGACACGGAGAGCAGGGCCTATGCGATTGAGGCAGCCATCATCAAGTCTTGCAATCCGATCTGCAATCGTGCCGAAGTGGAGAAGCGTGCGGCGTAACCCCTACGACCTGAGCGTGCTCGACCTCGTCCTCTTCCTCGGCAACGGGCGCAGCAGCTATATTCTTTGTTGGCGTCATAAGTTTTCGAGCAGGGGCTTCAACATCGATTGTAGCCCAGAGTCCCTGCTCCTATTTCATCACGGAAAAGGTCTTTTGCAGTGCGGTATCGCAGGCTCCAGACAACGTGCTCGGTCCTTTTCGGTTTTGTGGGCCCTTCAGAATTTTTTATCCAGATCATTTGCATCTCTTGTGTTCGTATGGTGCACATGGTCGGCCTTCATTGGGCTTCCCTCCGAGGTGGTCCCCAGATGATGCGGGCGGTCTCTTGTACCGCGTCGCGAGCAACATCAACGCGGCTGTGCTGGGCGCAGCGCCCAAGGCAGCCGCGCGTCGGTTTCTAGAACGTGTGCTGCGTCGCCCTCGTTTACAGTCACTTTCCCCGTTCGTCCCAGTGTTCTTCCTCGGTATTTTCAATCCCGA